ATAATTGGTAATTAAATTAGATTCAATTATGAGATAAAATTATTTTTGAGAGATGTAATCAATATCTTTATAACTTTTAATATTTATATTCTAGATATCACTTTTATACGGATGTTGGAAGAGTATCTGGGGATACAATTTTTTAAGTATTTGTGATCTTTGTAATCTCTACGTATATATTATATTATCATTTCTCTCATTCGTGGATGTAGACAAGATAAACTATAAACCCTACGTACATATGAAATATAATCTCACATACAAAATGTATAAATATATTTATTAAAAATCATATCAGAAAGGAAACATGGGATAACATGATGACATTATCATTAAGATAAAATATAAAATCAGTGTCGCAAAAAATCAAGTCAGGACGCCCAAAGATAGCAGGATGCAGAATGTATGATCAATGCGGCTAATAAGTCCTAACTACCCATCATTAACAAGACTAAGACAAAGAGATTTTCCAAAACCCCTTTATACTGCCACAACTAACAAGATGTGAAATTATCATCCAAGACGGATGAACCAAAACGGGATTGCAAATTTACCAGACATGTAAGATGAACGGCTATACTTCTTTCATCACAATCCCAACCCCACGAACATATAAGATCATATGCCTGCTAAATCATAAGAATATATCATAGGTCTAACAATTCAGAAGCATCGAAATTCTATATTTCAATGGAAGTCAATTTTTAAGAACATATCGCAGTTATAATGAAAGTTACTTCTTAAGAATAAGTACAAATCAATTAGATCAAATTTTGAAGATAAAATTATACTTTAAAATTAACCCAACGGTCCAAATTTCATAATCAAGGCATCGAAGGGGATGATCAAAATTGCTGATTGCCTGATCAATGTATCCTATAGTCCCATGAAAATTTCAACGAAAATTTCGGCCTCATGTTTCATATGTGGGGGACCCTTGGAAAGACGTAGGGTGTGGCACCAGCTTTTTTAAAAAAAACATATAAATATATAAATGAAAGAAAAAGTTATACTATTCCAATGTAGGTCCCAAAGACAGGAAGGTGTTGTGGGACCCATTTTATATCTTACGTGGCACGGTAGACACGTTTAAATTAACCCGACCATGAGCACTTGACGAAGACTTATCTCCTCATTCCACTCGCGGCGGCTTCCTCGTTTAAATTACGTTGGTAGATGCATTTTCAGTTAAATATATATTAGGTTATCATATTTACTTAATTCATTTAGCCATCTCGGTATTAAAGGAAATGCGGTTCTCTGTTAAAATTTTAGATTTAAATAATTGTATTTATAGAGTGTATACGTTATTAATAACTAAGAAAAATTATAAACATATATTATATTGTAATCATTTAAGATTATTCAAAAAAATTATATTATATTTACATTATCAATAAAATAAAATATTTTATATAAAAAAATTAACGAAAAAATATAATTAAAGTGATAAAAAAATTATATAAAAATTATTTGTGTGTTCTTTTATTGACTTTTAATTATTTTATTCAAAGGTGTTATAAAATATTATGAAAAAACCAATACTGTTATAAAATTATTAGTTATTATAATTTAAAATATTATTTTAATAATATATATATATACACATTAATGATACATATAAGTTAAGTTATCAATTTTTTTAGGATTTATTAAGGACAATGTGTTTTGGTTCACATAATATAAGATTTTTTCTGGAAATATAATTCTTAGAATATAACATTATTTGATGCATTATTAAGACTATTGCATTATATTATTTGATTTATTTGGTAGAAATATAATATTAAAATGTTTAGTTATGAGAATATAAGATTATCTAAAATCAAATTTTACCAAATTATAATGTACTGGCAAGAGACATTGCTTTAGTCCTAATTGACCTTAATCTAGGACAACTCCTCCCTTTTTACCCAAAAAAAAATAATTTTATATTTTAGTTTAACAAAATCTGATAATTTTGCTTTTGAAATGTTATTAGTGAGTTCCAATAATTAAGACCATTAATTATTTCATTTAAAATGCCGACATAATTTTTTTAATTAAAATACATCTTCTAACTTAAATTTACCTTTATTCTTTTTTATTTGCTATACATATATGATAAAAAAACAGTTAGTTATTTTGGACCAGCGCCTAAAAAGATTATTTAGAGTTGTGAAAAAATTTTGATATGGGAAATATTTACATAAAAAATAAAGAATTAATCTTAGTTATTTATTTTTATTTATCTAACAATTTTAAAAAATATATAATTTTTTTGAATAGTTTGTGATGATTATAAGATAATATCTCCTCATAATCTTTTTAATTATTGACAATACACACTGTGGACGCGACTGCTCGAATTTGGAATCTCGAGAGAGAACAACACTCCCTTTAGCCACTAAAATCATCCAACGAATTCATAAAATTAAAATTTTTACATCAAGTATAAATGGATTCTAATTATATATACGATGAGTGTAATATGCTTTTGTTTTTAAGTTCATTGGATTCAATCAATGTTTTGAAAATTCTCTTTTGTTAAACTTTAATGAAATTTTGTTTGGTGTGAGTTGTGACAATTTGATGTGATATGTTACATGGGCACAAGCGTAGTCATTACCACTAACACAAATAAGAACGAATGAAAGAAAATATATTTATATGAACCTAAGGGATGATTTTAGTGGAAAATTAAGGGTTGTTCTTTATAAGTAATCCGAATTTAAATAGTTTTATTTATAAAATATATGTAAATAGTGATTGATTGAGAGGATGATTGGGGTGATCTTTCCTTAAAAAAAAAATCAAATTTTCATATATTTTTAACATTTTTTCTTTTGCTTTGGTCTATATTTTTGAAAGAAAAAAATTGATTATCTATATTTTATTTAATTAAATGGTTCAACAAACTATAGTCACTTCTTCTTTTGCTCTTTTTCACATTATTCTCCTAATTCCTTTCTGATTTAAATTTAAAACGAATTTTGTATTGACTTAAGAAGAAATCAAAGTCATGAAAGTGCATATATATAATGGTTGATTAAGAAAGACTGACAAGAGTATGCAAAATGACCCGAACCCGACGGGAAACCCGAAACCCGGTCAAGTTCGGGTATAATATTTCGGATCGGGTCGGGGACAGGGATTCATTTCGAGGACGGGCGAGCAAAACCCGCACCATTGCCATTCTTACCCTAAATTATTTTAATTTCCTTTCACACTTTTCATTTCTCATCTATCTCTAGAACAAAAAAAGTTTACACATTTTATAATTGTATTTTATTAATTCGGAATGATGTTGATCAGTTGGGTTGATTGAATTGATGATCTATTTGGTTAAACTGTTAATTTTTATCTCGAATTTTTTTATTTTTAATGATTTATATAACTTTTAATATAATTTTGTTGATTTAAATGATTAAATAATCAATTTTCAATTAAATCGATTTAACCAGATCATAACAACCATGATTTAAAACATTACAAGAATATAATTTTTGGACTGCCCAATTTAATTTACTAACTGATTGAATATAATATTAATGGATTTTAACCTAATTTTATAGAATCAATTCTTCAGTCACTTCGATTTAAACTTTTTAGAAGAAAAAGATAGATAGGTTATGCCAAATTCAAATTAAAAAATAAAAAATCTTCGACTCAATATTAAAAATTATTCAAGTCATATTTAGATCGATCAAAAACTTAATTCTAAAAAGTTTTACATTCTCTTTTATTCAGTGTTCAAGAAATGAGATGATGATTCAAATGTTGTAAGGTGGGATTTTGATCTTGTTCTTTGATTTTGTATTTATGTGTAAGCTTTACAAGGGTAAATTGTACTTTTTTTTCTTCTTTATCTAGATTTAGAGAGTTTTTTTTAATAAAGTTCTTACCGTTATCGTTTTGTAATTTTATCTTTATCAATAACATATAAATCTTTTTTTTTTTAAAAAGAGAAAAAAATGAGATAATGAAGATATATTGTATCAAGATCCCATGCCCATACCCACCTATAAGGCTACAATACTATATATGAAGAGACAATGAAGGATGAGAGAAAAATAAAAATTAAGATGTTTTACATGCAATAAGTTAATAAATAAAATCCTCTAGGGGACAAACCCAAGTAAAAAAGGGTACATTCGACTGTGACACATCCACCCATAGGACTCCCCCACCAAGACCAACTTTAATTTTCACATTATTATGTTCTTAATGAAGTAATTATTATTTTATTATTGCAAAGTCTCGTCTACGGTTTCATCTTTCTCAAGACATGCATGGCCACTAATATCTTTTCCGGGCAACGTAATAATTTGACATTAGCCTTAGTATAATGTATAATTATATAGGTGATTAATGAATGAAAAAAAATAAAATCCTATCATCAATAATAATAATAAATTATTATTCTCTATAAAATTCTTAAGTTTAAACAATTACATATGTATAATGTGAATTACCAGTTGATTAAGAAAATTATGAATATATATTATTTTATAATTACTCATATTTTTAAAAAAATATGATTGGATAAACGAAAATAGATCAATGTGAATAACAATAGAGAATAAGATGTTCACTGAATAAAAATAAATAAATAATCTCAGTAGTCTATTTTTACTTATCTAATTATTCTAAAATAGATGTAAAACTAAAAGTTTTATTCTAGATGAAATAAGTAAATCCTAACTCATAAATAAAAATATGATACTTATTATGATCCCATTGAATGATCAGTGATAAAAAATATTATTCTCCTTAGAGGACGTGTTCTAGCAACCGTGCGTACATGGTGTATATAACAATTAAAAAAGATTTTGAATAAATATTACATTTTAATCGCTCAAACTATTAAAAAAAATACCATATATCAAATATTAATATTTATTTTCGTATCCAATAAACCCTACCAAAAATTAATCAAACAAAAAGAAACAGTGGGATGAGAGAGAATAAAGAGAAAAAAATATAAATAAACAAACATGGCCTTATGCTTGCCTTTAATTTTTATCTTTATCTTTTTCTCTCTGCAACTCTGGCTGGTTTTTTATGTGATTCTCCACCATATTACCAAAAACCCTTTACAAAAAGATTGAAAGCTTAAGCTCAATAAACGCCATGGGTTTCTCTTCTGTTCCAGTCTATCTAGATCCCCCCAATTGGCAGCAGGTAATATTTTCTTTTTCAAACCCAGATTTTCTTTTCTTTTCTCGGGTAGCTTCTTCTCCAAAAAAGATACAAGTAATATTCTTACCCTTTTCTGATCTTCACTTGAATATACCATTTTCTTTATGTATTAATCTTTTCTTTAAAATTATTGTGATTTTATTTTTTTGCAGCCACAAACTCATCAGCAAGCTGGAGTTATCACCAGTGAGAGTCATCATTATTCTCAGCTTCCACCACCACCAGCAGCGGCGGCGGGTGTTGGTGGTGGTGCAGGCGGTATTAAGCCTGGTTCGATGACTGAACGAGCCAGGCTAGCTAAAATACCCCAGCCGGAGTCGGCTCTGAAGTGCCCTCGTTGTGAATCGACGAACACTAAGTTTTGTTATTTCAACAATTACAGCCTTTCTCAGCCTCGTCACTTTTGTAAGACCTGTAGACGATACTGGACTCGCGGCGGCGCTTTAAGGAATGTTCCGGTCGGAGGCGGTTATCGAAGAAACAAAAGAAGTAAAGGAAGTAATAGATCAAAGTCTCCAACGGTAGTTTCTGAACGTCAAACCGGTTCGACCTCGTCTTCAGGTACACTTGCTGCCGATGGTGGCACTGATATTTTAGGCCATATGAACCTAGCAGCTCCGCAATTGCCACTATTTCCGCCTTTTCATCATCTCGTCGACTATAATTCCGGGGATATCGGGCTGAATTTCGCCGGAATTCAGCCCGATATGACACCGACTGGCGGTGGAAGTACTAGTGGTACTAACATGGATTTTCAAGGCTCAAATGGATTAGTGGAACAGTGGAGATCACTGCAACAGGTTCAACAATTCCCATTCTTGACTAGCTTGGAGCAGCATCAAAATGGATTATATCCGTTTGAAAGCGAAGGTGTCGAACCGTCCCCAAGTGACGGCGGTCAGCATCCGCTCCGATCGAAGCCATTGGAGAATGCTATTACTCAGCTTGCAGCTGTCAAAATGGAAGACGCTCAAGGATTGAATTTATCAAGGAATTTCTTGGGAATTTCAGGCAATGATCATCAATATTGGGGTGGCAGTGCTGGCAATTCATGGACTGATCTTTCTGGTCATTTCTCTTCTCCTACATACATACATACATGCATACATATAATCCTCCCTCAAAACCCAATTTAATACTTTTTTTGGTTAAATTATTCACAGGCTTCATCAAGGAGAAATCAAGTCACAGATAAGGAGTTTCCAATCAAGAAACAACTCTAACTTTTGCTGCTGTTGTTCATTTTAATCTTGTTGTGTTTTCTATATAGTATTGTAATGCACTAAGAAGTTAACTAGGTTTTTAATTATTATGTAATATATATTCTGGAAAGAGAGAGAGAGAGAGAGAGCGCTTGGGTACCTGACTTAAGAAATTAAGGTAGATTCTTCTCATAGTTATGATAAAAGGAAAACAAAACACTGCTTTGTTTATTTTCCTGTTTCTGAAATTATATATGTATATATATATATATGTTCACACTTTATACTTATATATTTGGATGAGAGAAAATATTGAAATTAATAGTAAAAAATAAAAAGGTATTCACGAAAACAGTACGAAAAGATATTTTCAATCGTCTATTTCTACTTATCCAACTGTCATAAAAATATAAAACTAAAAAGATTCTAACCGCCCTCTCTATATATTTCTCGTATTTTAAACTATATTATGATCAGTGTTGTCTTCAGCAGCAAAGAAGATCAGTCAGTTAAGTACCACTTCCTAGCATAGCTGAAAGTGAGCTTCAATCCCTTTCACGCAATGCGACAGCAATTTCTATTTAAAAAATAGAAAAAAGAAATTACTATTTTTCATTTTTGAGTCATTCTTTCCGATTGAATCGTATTTATCGCAGTTGTGGTCAAAAACGTAAAAAAAATATAGAGTGAAGGGAGCTTCGGTCTTTGAAGATAAAGTGATAGAATTCATTTACTGCTGCTGTAGGGATCACCGATGAGTAGAATCTCAGTCTTCGCTTTAATCAAGTTTGATGGCAAATTTCAAATTCCCAAGATGTTGCTTTGTCTCACGTTTTTTAGGGTTTTTAACCTCAGGTTAGTTATTTTTCACCCTCCGAAGAGCCTAAAGTAATACTAAATAATTATTTTGTCTTCAATGCATTTAGTTCTTTGTCATTTCCATATTACCAATTTTTTGAAAAAAAATAATTATAAATAAGAAAATGTAGGATAAAGTGGAAGTTAAAAAAAGGAAAAAAAGAAAGAAGGAAACGCCAAATTTCCACTCAAAACCATGCAGAGGTACAATTTTGTCAGTAATTTTTTTAACGTAAGACCAAAACCTAAAAGGACAGATGAAGTCAAAAGTACACGAAGAAATTAATAAAAATTATAAATAAATTCTTATAATATTTTGAAGAATTTCCTTTTTAATATTTTGTTTGGTGTTCGGTTTAAGATGATATTCGAATTTGATTTCTTAATTTAATTTGAAACACTTATATGAAGTATTTTCTCTCGAGATTCACTGGACTTCGTAGCTTGAAACAATCATATTTATAGTTTTTTCTTGGTCTAATTAGGTATTTGAATTTAATTTTTTGGTTCGACTTGATACATATGATTATTTTGATCTTTGTAGACACTCATATTTGTATCTTTGTTTCAAACTTAAACTTAGTTTTTGGTTCACTTTTGATAGGATTTCATTTAAAATTTCGTTGTAAATCAATTAAAGTTTTAACCGTCAAAATCGACCTTAATTTTTTTTAAATAAATTGTTTCAAAATTCTTATATTCGTATCTTTTCCTCACTCTTCAAAAGTTCATACTCGAATTTAAAATGTCAAATGGAGAACGATCATTAATATTAACTAAGAATGAATTATGGAACGATCTTTCCAATCCAGTTTGCTCCACTTGCAAATGCCTTGAATCTTTGATTTTTTTTAGGAATATAATGTTCATCCCATTAGACCAACTGTTTGTTATTCATCTTACTATTTAGGTTTAGAATTGTTCCTCTCAATAATATTACCTATTCATCGATAGAAATGTAATATGAATTTCTTCAATTTTTCACTTGAATTATTATTTAAAATAATTAAAAAAATATTTTAAAATAGTATTATTATAATTAAACTAATTTAAATTGTTGTTAAATAAATAATTCGAGTTAAATAGCTTATGAGTTGTTTTTAAAAATTATTTGAATGTGATGTCATACATAAAGGTAATTAAAAGGCTTGTAGGCCTTTGTATCTTTAGACATCACAAGATGAATAGGGAATTTTAAAAAAAATATGAAATTAGCTTTGATAGCATTTGTATGAACTTATAGAAAAAGCATTCAAATTCATATTTAATTAGATCTTTTTTGTTTTTTGTTTTCTTATCCTTAATTCAAATCCTTTTGTCTATCTAAAAATACCTATATGGTAAGATAGTTTGAATTTAACGTATTTCAATTCGATTTGATATTATAAGATCAAATTACGAAGAGATAGGTTTTAAATTAAATATTTTAAGGTTGAGGTTTAATCGGGTTTAGGTTAAATCCTCACTACTCAACTGAGAAAATTATCAAACTAAGCCTTTTTAATTTTATTTTAAATTAACAAATTTAACATGAAGAAAATTAAAAGTTCTAATTATATAAACATGATGGTCCTACTTAATCATATTATTTTCTTTATAAATTGAGTCATGTCTTTCACTTTAGTCTTAAAGTTGATTAGATCAGCCTTTAAATTTGTGCAAATGATCTCTTGAAACATAATTATTTTGTCCTTGTAATTAACCCTAAGAGATTGATTTTGACTTAGAGGTGGGTATACATATATATAATCTAAGGTCCACAAATTTTCTCCACTCTATTTCCATTTTGTTTGATGTATAAGAGTTTGTGAAATGAAAAACCAATATATAATTTAAAGATACTCCGTAATGAGAACCCATCAAGAGATCTTAGTAGTTAAAGGAATCTTGTTCTCTCTAGAGGTCTTGAGTTCGAATAATTACGTCAGCAATGTGTTATCGAAGAACATATATTACCTTGTAATCACCTCATACTAACTCTACACGAGAAGCACGAAACTGCGAAACAAACATCAAGTTAAAATCTTTTTCTTAGGAGTGAAGAATTCTTTTATTTGTTTTGTGAAATGAAAAACCATCACTTTCCAAATCTTGTGTCTGCTGTATAAAATTCCACCTCCAACGTGTTTCATGAAGGAAACACCTACTTTTCCTCCATAGAAATGTCCATACAAACACTAAAGTTGAATGGTACCTAGAGTAGTTTACCCTTATTTTAAACATAATTGTTAATGGGGGGCTCCATAATTTTGACCCTGCTGTGGGTATCATGTGGAACCGTCCTTCTCTTTTTTTCCTTGTTTACATGGTCAATATGACTTAGAATGAGGAAGCAGCCCAATGAAATCGTAGCCACTTGACTTTTGAAGTCGAAAACCATTCATATATAATGCACTCTCTAGTTCCTGTGGATGAACCAAACACTCTCAAATACACATTATTCTCGTTAATTCAGAAATTGTTTCAGGTTGATGGAGCTATCGAAAAAGCATTTTGAAGCGTCCACCACTTTTTCCTTGCTTGTGTTGAAGTTATCATTCTTCTCTCATGCTTCAACTTGCAGGGTCTTATTCTGCTTGATTTAGCAACAGCAAGCACTGTAGCTAGAGGAAATGCCACAGACCTACAAGCTTTACTCCACTGCAAAGCCAAGATAACCGGTGATCAGCTCAAGATTATGGAGTAATGGAATGGTTCCATTCACTTGTGTCAGTGGAGTGGTGTTACATGTGGTCGCAAACATCGGAGAGTCACCAAGTTGGAACTGATATTCCTCATAATCTCGGGATCTTTGTCACCACACATTGGGAACTTGAGCTCTTGGAAACATTGGGATCTTTGTCACCACAACAGTTTGAGAGGGAGTATCCCGCCTTCCTTGGGGAACTTGTCATACCTGGAGAAACTTGATTTGATTTATATTGCATTAAGTGGCATCATAACTGAAGCTCTTGGAAAGCTGACAAATCATTCATTTTTCTCGGCAGCAGGTAATGCAATGTATGGGGTTCCTGTCACAATGTTCAACCTCTCCAATATTAGAGTGTTTGATATTGATGGAAACAAGATTCAAGGTACTCTTCATTCTAACTTGCTGGCAATCACCATGCCATATGCTGAATTCTTTTCCATAGGGAGTAACCAAATCTCTGGACAAATCCCAATTTCAATATGAAATGCTTCAAATCTGGATACTTCAATTTCATTATAACAGTTTCAGAGGGAACGTGCCTTCGTTAGAAAAGTTGGATAAACTGTTTAACCTTGAACTAGGCATGAACCGTTTAGGACATGGGAGAGAAGGTGACTTGAAGTTTCTATACACTTTAGTCAATAACACTAAATTAACTTTTCTGTCCATACGCCTGAATAATTTTGGAGGGGAACTTCCTGAATGCATTAGCAATTTTTCCAGCACCCTTGAGGGTTTAGGAATGGAGATTAACAGAATATGGGGAAGAATTCCAAATGGGATTGTAAATCTCAACAATTTGGAGGCGCTAGGGGTATATCAAAATCAACTATCAGGCCTCATTCCATTCGAAATTGGGAAACTGAAGATAGTTTATGCTCATGGTAATTTTCTCTTTGGAACTATTCCTCATTCTATTGGAAATTTTACAGAGTTAACCAAACTTACTTTAGATTTTAACAATCTCCAAGGCAACATCCCTTCAAGTTTCGGTAACTGCCAAAATTTGCTTGGAATGAGTCTTTCTCATAACAATCTTAGTGGACCTATACCGCCTCAAGTACTTGGAATCCCATCCATGTCCATTATGTTAGATTTATCATCAAATGATTTGACCGGTGAACTTCCTGTTGCAGTAGGATATATGAAAAATCTAGCTGAATTATATGTTTCTAAAATAGGTTATCTGGCTTGATTCCAAATAACCTTGGTAGCTGTGTAAGTTTAGTGAAGTTGTTCTTGAATGGGAATTTGTTTGAAGGGCCCATTCCTTCATCTTTGAGTTCGTTGAAAGGTCTCGAGGCATTTAATGTATCTGATAATAATCTTTCAGGTGAGATTTTTGAATTTCTTCTGAGTTTCAGGGCATTAAAGTATTTAAATCTCTCTTCCAATGATTTTGAGGGAGTGATACCAAATGAAGGAGTCTTTAAGAATGCAAGTGCTACATTTGTTGAGGGAATCAATAAGCTATGTGGAGGTATCCCTGAGTTACACTTGTCAAGATGTAACAAAAAAACATCACCAAACACTTCCCCTAAATTGAAGATTGCAATTGTCATTGTGACTTTAGGAGTGACTTTGGTTTTCACTTGTCTCCTCATCTTGTGGTTTAGAAAGAAAAGAGAGCGAAAGCCAACAACAACTTGTGCAGAAAATTCGTTTTTACAGTTGTCATACCAAAGCATCCTAAGGGCTACTGATAGGTTCTCCACGCAAAATTAGATTGGTTCAGGAAGTTTCGGCTCTGTATATAAAGTAACTCTTGAAGACAGTGGAGCAACTATTGCAGTAAAAGTGCTTAATCTTCTGAATCGTGGAGCATCAAGAAGTTTCTTGGCTGAATGTGAGGTCTTGAAGAACATTTGACATCGGAATCTTGTCAAACTATTAACAGCCATTTCAGGTATCGATTATAAAGGCAATGATTTTAAAGCCTTGGTTTATGAGTTCCTGGCAAATGGAAACTTGGAGGATTGGTTGCATCCATCAATCAGCATGAATGAATCGGAGAGGATGAGAAACTTGAACTTTTTTCAAAGAATTGATGTGGCCATAGACGTTGCTCATGCACTCGAATATCTGCACCATCGTTGTGAAACATCTATAATACACTGTGACCTCAAGCCAAGTAATATTATAATTGATAATGAAATGGTTGGCCATATAAGTGACTTCGGCTTAGCAAAAATCCATTTTGCAGACATGCTTAACCATTTTGTTAATCAATCAAGCTCCCTTGGATTAAGAGGAACTATTAGTTATGCTCCACCAGCTAATTTATATTATATTATTTTCTTCTATTTTTATAATCATTATTTATAGGATTTTCCCTACATTTATTTGTATATATGATTTGTAATGAACTAATTGTAAAGTATGGCATGAGAAGTGAGTTATCAACGAAAGGTGATGTGTATAGTTATGGCATCCTTTCACCGGAGATGTTTACAGAGAAAGGCCAACTGATGAAACGTTTAAAGGTTTAAGTCATCATATATTTGTTAAGGAAGCTTTTCCCAATCAAGTAGTTGAGATTATAGATCCCATTCTACTTCAAGAGAATGTTAGAGAAGGAATAATCACAGACATCACTCGCAATGCAAACCGTATGGGAAATGAGAGCCACCTTCATTGTTTGAATTCAATATTCGAAATAGGACTTACTTGTTCTGCTGAATCACCGAGTGAGCGGACAGACATGAGTGATGTTGTTACCAAGCTTTGTTCTATTCTAGACAAGCTTCTTCGTCCAACTCGATTACGACATGGGATGCGAACTCCATACACTGCTCAATCAGCAGGTAAAAAATGTCTTCTTATCTTAGCAGAATACTTAATTATATCACCACTTGATGCACATTTCAATTATGATACGATGTGTTAAGATAAATTTTTGTTTCTCAAGTTGCAGGTATCTAAGGTGTGGTATGGATGATCTTGGGAGGCTTAGGTGATGTTTGTTTTTGTAGAGGTAAAATGTTTGCAGTCTGCGGACCACATCTGCAGGCATCTGCAGCAGAAGAGGTGGACCAAAAGTTTGTAATATGCAAGAATAAGATTGTTTGTTTTAATGTCCGCAGACTGCTAAAATAAACTGAAATATAAATAAACTGATTTTTTAAACTTAAAAAGTTTTGTAATACTGAAATTTAATAATTTTAGTTTTACAATACTGAAATTTAAATAATCCATACAACTACAACAATAAATTTTTAAAATAAATCAATCCATATTTTGCATTAATTGCTCAGCAATTTCATCTCGTAGCTGAGTCATATATTCTCGATCCGCTGCAGAACCATGTCCTTTAGGCTCGTCTTCATCATCAGCAACACGCACATTGGTATTTGAAACATCACATTGGGTTGATCATATTCATTAAAGAACTCGTCGCTCAAACCCTCTTTTCTTATAAAAGTATGAATTGCGAAACATGAAATGGTCTTTGAAGAGGTTGGAAGAGTTTTGAAGACACAAGGCCAAGTCTGCGTCAAGAAGAGGACACACAGACGTTTTTAGAGCTATTGTCTTCTAAAAAAACAAACGGTCTGCGAAGTCCAATAACTACGCGTGGTCTGTGCGGAACAGACATAAGAGCTTTAAAGACATTTTTTTAGAAAAACAAACAGCAACTTAGTCTGCCAAAATGCTTGCTTTTCTCTTATGTTCACATTCTGCTTTGAGAAAAGATAATGAGTTTTTCCAGTGTAATTTGGGTTTATATTTTGTTCTTGTGTTAGCATCATAAGCTACTGGATTGCCATCAAGTCAGAGTTTAAGGTAACAATGTTGGATTTGGAGTCTGTATCATAATGTACCAATAATGCCATTGAACATGTCTATCCATAACTATTCATGAGAGTTGTAGAAATTTCTTAGTTCAATTGGCTTATATTTTCTTAGCTCGGAAACATTTCACAACCTGCTTACATATATGTATCAAAGTTCTGTTGGAATTGTACCTAGAATCAAATCACATATAAATTATAATTCAAATCTCTGTAATTTATTAATAAAGTAATGATAAATTTTAACTTTCAATATTGACATTTTTTTTGTCAATTTAATATCTGTAATTTGACCTTTCTGGGAATTCTTTTGCTTACAAACTGAGAATATAGTGTTTAAATTAAGACCGCGCTCGTGAATGAATGATATCGATGCTTGTATAAATAAACTTATATTAAAAATAATATTTTGATCACAATTTATAGAAATTTTATATTTTAGCATCGTTTTTTAGTTAAGATTAAATTAAAATAAATTGTATTAGATGTTATAAAATTTTATATACCTTTAAAGTTTAGTGCCTAAACGATGTTGTTTTAAGCATCAACGATCACATTAGAACAATGTTGTTTTGACCACATTGTATTGATTCTAACGGTCCAGTTGTATAATTAAAATCAAAACCAAAATTTTGTGTTATAATTGAAACGATTGAAAGTTCAATATTAAAAATAACATATTATCTAAAGTTTAGTGGTGTCTGATATATTTTATCCTTAAATAACAGAAAATGTAAACGTACATATGAAGTTATTAATATACAAAATTTAAAAAATTCATATCACTTACAATCGATGCGAGAGTGTCTTCATTAAAGGTATCACACCCTATCTAAACTTTGGATTTAAACAAACAATATCATGACAATTTGGGGACTAACGACATAATTTATGTAAACTTTTAACTAGTATGGGTTAAAGGTATCACACCCTATCTGAGTTAAGTATAACATTATTTAATCAAATCAACTCGAATTATAAAAAATTATGTCGAAGATCCCTATGAATTTAGTTTCGGTTATTGAGATTTATGTATATTATTATAATTTACTTATGTAAAGGGGTTTACGGTGGACATGTGTCCATTGTGAGATCCTAATTGTTTTATTGTTAGTTATCTAATTTATTGATGGTGTTCATTTCATATGAGAAATTTCTATTATTAATATATATGTGTTTACCTTAAAAATATTTTTGAATCCATCATTGATTATTATAAATATCCATAGGTATAATAGCAAAAATGCTGCAACATTTACACAAATAGTCAATTTACACCCTTTTTTTTGGACCATTTTGCCTCATAACGTTTAAAATTTTTGGTCAAAACAGACATTGTTGGTTAGAAATCGTTAGTTGACTAATGATCAACCTATATTACTGACGTGATATTTCACACATGTTTAATTGATCACGTGGCATATATCACATAGTCAAAAAGGATGATGTAATATATACCACGTTATCAATTAAACTCATGTGAAAATATCATATCACTAACAAGAGTTGATCGTTAGTTAACTAACGATTTTCATCTAACATGATCTGTTTTGATCAAAAATCCAAATGTTAAGAGTTAAATTCTAAAAAAAATACAAAGTGATCATTTGTACAAATATTTTTATCATTATCCCTAACTAATAATTAAAATTAGTGAAAATTAAACTAATTTTCATTTAAAAAAAATTTTTAAAAAATTTATTTAATGATTATGTGATAACAATTGAATCAGTTAAACAAAAAAAATAGTGACCTAATCGATTTCACCATCAATCCTATTAGTACAACATTACCACCAAAGCAAAGAAAACTAAATATGTAAATCAAAGTCTCTTATTTTCGTTTATTATGTAATTCAAACTTTATGAAAAGTGGAAAAAAGAAACAATACAAATGATGTGTCAAGATCGTCACCGTTGAAACCCATGAGCACACCCAGGAATGGTCCCTTCTTTCACTCAATCAATCAAGTCAGCCATTAAAGAATAGACGTTGGTTCATCGGTCAAGATAATTAGCTCTCCTACCCTATCCAAACTCCTTTAATATATTATATATACTTACCCCATTTCTTAAATCACCAGCTTTCCCACTTTCGTTTTTGCCAAGTTCTAATCTTTGAGATCTTGGGAACTCCAAAGATCCAAACTTTTACAAGCTTAAAGCTTCAAAGGGTTGGTTCCTTTTGCTGTAACGAAAACTGGGTTTCCTTTTGTTTTTGGGTTTTGAAAGGATGAAGGTCACTCTAGTTTCTCGCAGTGGGAGAGAGTTCATCAAAGGTGGCCTCGAGCTTAATGACTCGGTATGCATTTCTGTCTTTATTGTGATTTGTTTGTTTTTAATGGTTTGATTTGAAAAGAAAAATGAAAAAGAAAGGAAATTTGTTGTGTTTTTGTTTTGCAGGCTACTGTGGCTGATCTGCAGGAGGCAATTCACAAGAGAAGTAAGTGATTTCGTTTTAGTTGTTAGATACAAGCTTGATTATTGCTCTGTTTGCCAATTAAGTGCTAATTTACAGAACTATAATTCTGAAATTGTGGAGCATAATTGCTTGTTTGTGGGAATTTCTTGTGATTCTGCTTGTGTTTTTGTTTGGGCGTTCTCCTGCTTCATATCTTCACAAGTAGAGCCAATTAGATGCTCTTTTCACCCCATTTCCATTCAATTACTGAGCTAGAGATTCAATGCTTGTTTGTGGATCATGATTTCCTAATTTTGTTGACCCTTGAGTCCTGATACTTGACTCAGTATGTCAATCTTTCGACCGGCATTTATCGTTAGGTGTTGTGATTGCATCGGTGTAGGCAGTTTCATTGGTCATTAGATTCTTTCTAAACGAGTTTGTGTTGTTCCAACAGCTAAAAAGTTCTATCCTTCGAGACAAAGACTAACTCTTCCCGTGCCGTCCGGATCAAGGGAGAGGCCTGTCGTCCTTAGCTACAAGAAGAATCTCCGAGACTACTGTGATGGGAACGAAAACAGCTTGACCATAGTTTTCAAGGACTTGGGTCCACAAGTGTCTTACAGAACACTGTTCTTCTTCGAGTACTTGGGTCCTTTGATCCTCTATCCCGTCTTCTACTACTTCCCGGTGTATAAGTTCTTTGGATACGAAGAGAAGCGTGTCATCCACCCCGTTCAAACATATGCTTTATATTACTGGTGTTTCCACTACTTCAAACGGATTATGGAAACATTCTTCGTCCACCGTTTCAGCCACGCGACTTCTCCATTATTGAACGTCTTTAGAAATTGTGCTTATTATTGGACATTTGGTTCGTACATTGCTTACTACGTCAACCACCCGCTTTACACTCCTGTCGGTGACCTTCAGATGAAGATTGGCTTCGGGTTCGGTGTGGTTTGTCAACTTGCAAACTTCTATTGTCATATCATACTGAAGAACCTACGCGGTCCTGACGGCAGTGGAGGGTATCAAATTCCTCGTGGCTTTTTGTTCAACATCGTGACATGCGCGAATTACACAACAGAGATTTATCAATGGTTGGGTTTCAATATTGCTACTCAGACAGTTGCAGGCTATGTGTTCTTGTGGTTGCTACTTCTATCATGACAAATTGGGCCCTCGCGAAGCATCGCCGATTGAAAAAGGTATTTCCTTTTTCCACGAACTACTAAATCGGATATTTTTCTCGACACTGATGAAAACCATACTTCCATGCAATGCCTTACACGCCTTAATCTAAAAGTAAATTAGATAAACACGTATGGACTTTTATTTAGTTTGCCGAGCACATACCGATTCGGATTTCTTTGAGCAACAATATTATGTTATTCCATTATGCTTAATCGAATGCATTAGACAAAGCTCTCTACATATAAACTCCTGTAAGTTCATATATGGTGGCAAATTAACTGTTTAGGAATCTTGCTATGGTCGGGGCTTGTTGTGGTTCATTATTCCGTTGTTGATTAAAGTTTACGCTCTCCCTTTTACTTCTTGTCGCTTGCAGCTATTTGACGGTAAGGATGGAAGGCCGAAGTACCCCGGAGATGGATCATTCTTCCCCCATTCCTGTAGAACAGATCGGAGAACATGCTATTTATTACTCTTTTCGACATCAAGTTCACGATGCTGAAGCAGGCTTTTGAGTTTATTGAAGATGAATGTAATGCATTTGACATGCATTAGGATGGATGTTTTTCCAACTTATTTAAAATCATTGGTGATTTACACTGTCAGTGTTGGTTGTTATTTTGATTGATGGATTTTGTTTCAGTTTCATAATGCAGATACCATTATGAGATTTTATCGTCTTGACATCAAACCGGGTTTTGCAAGTTATTCGAGTTCGGTTTGAAATGTAAATTGGATTCGGTTGGGTCATTTTCGAGTCGAGCAATGACCAAATCCGTTGATCTCGTTGAATTATACTCGATTAAGTCATTATCATGTTGAATTTAAGTATTTGCATGGTTCGGATATGATCAAATTAAAATTTGACTTCTTTCAACACTTGAGTTCCTATTTGCTAGTACAGCTAAAACAATGATACAAGTCTTATCAAATGAAACAAAATTGAGGTAATCAGATGAGCTATATTTATAATTTTTATTTAATTTTTTTTTTCAAAACAAATCGAGTGAAATGAAATTCAGAGTGAACATGTATTCGTGTTAAATTTATTTTCTTTGTCAATAATATAATTGCCTTCTTTGTTAAACATGTAAATTTAAGACTATATTGAAAACTCTTTTTAAGCAAAATGAGAGAAAGTAACATACATTAGATTTAATAATTTATTTGTTTAAGATTTTGAATTTTTCATATTTTTTAAATTATATATTTTGATATAATCTTATTGCGAAATATGACTGATAAGAAATAGTGTTTGGTTGTCAGAAAATACAATGCTAAAATAAAAATTATTTATAAATTTAATGATAAAATCGATATACTCTTAAAGTTTAATGTCT